AACTCTGACAAAGTCAGAGTCACAATGATTTATCCGGTTCCATTGCTGGCAATAGGGTGCAACCTGCCATGCGATTTGGAATGGTCACCAGGGTTAACTGGAATTGGTGATTTCATTGGCAGATTTCTCCACACCTCTTGTTCTGATGCCAACTGCCACATGTTGGGTTTCCTATCACTTCCTGTCCTCGAAAATGAGGGCAAATACAGAGGGAGAATCTGCTCAACATGAAAAGCGATATCATCAAATATATGGTAGGGATTCTGTTCTGCTCTTTGCTATTCAAAGCTATGCATGCACTTTTATTTCCATAACTGTGTCATGCAAGGTATCGATTAGGAGTTATATTTTTGGAATTAGGATGTTAAATCATGCTTAGGAATAGGTATCAGTTGACAAGATGCAAAGGTCTTCATCTAGAAACTAGGTGACAGCTCCTTCCGTGGAGACACAAACACCTGCTAATTGTCACGTGCTCTGATTACACCACCATCATATTTCATTTGGTAAACAGTAGGGATGTGTAAATCTGCCCGGGTTTCGTTCGAGCTGGGTTAGGCAAACCCAGCAGGAAGTCCATGAACCCCAAACTTAGTGCTGAACTCTACTGAAGCCTTCAGGAGGTGAAACTAGTTATTTTTTCTGGCCATTTTAAAGGCTAATAGTCAAGCTAATGTTAAAAAATGGCATTGGGAGCTGGGAACCGCCACAAGTGATATTTACCAATGCAAGAATTTTTGTGAAATACCATTTGTTGGGGAGAGGGTCTTTTCATGCAGTTTAAGGCTCCATTCACACTTTATATAATCAACCACACCCACCTACACAATGAGTCCTTCTGACCATATAATATATCCTTCCACCCTGGAAGTCATCAATAAATATACATAGTATCCGGTCACCCTACATATAACAGTGTCAATCCCCGTGAGCATAAACCAAATGTTCAATATGTTTTTTATCAATATAAGTCCATACGCCCTATTAAATCTTCATATAGTCCCCCAGTACTTGGTGCTCCTTCAATTCTTTGTGCACAGCAAATCAATTCATCCTCTTCTATTCAAAGTACCTCAAAACAAATAAACTCAGCATAGTGCATTATCCTTAACTGCTTCCATACCGGGCACTTTTACCCCCTTCCTGCCCAGGCCAATTTTCAGGTTTCAGCGCTCTCACACTTTGAATGACAATTGCGCGATCATACAACATTGTACCCAAAGTAAAATTTTATCATTTTCTTCAAACAACTAGAGCTTTCTTTTGGTGGTATTTAATCACCGCTGGAGTTTTTATTTTTTGCTAAATTAACAAAGAAAGACCAAAAATTTTGAACAAAAAACACGTTTTTCTTTGTTTCTGGTTTAAAAGTTTGCAAATAAATAATTGTTCTTCATAAATATAGGCCAAAATGTATTCTACTACATGTCTTTGGTGAAAATAACCCAAATTAGTGTTTATTATTTAGTCTGTAGGAAAGTTATAGAGTTCAAAAACTATGAGATATATCTGAAAATTGATCAATCCTGAAGTACTGACAGCCAATCTAATTTGTTGAGGTCCAAGAATGTCAGAACAGTACAGATATCCCCCAAATGACCCCTTTTTGCAAAGTAGACAGTCCGACGTATTTCATAACAGGCATGGCGAGTTTTTTGAAGTTGTAATTTTTTTTGTCATAATTTTTCGGAAATGAAAAAATAAAATAAATGATTTTCAGCATTTTATTTTTTTACATACTGTCACCAGTGCAGTACAGCATCATCATATAACTGGCATGGTGGTGATCAGGGACACTGACTGGTGACACTACGAAAAAAAAAAGTTGATAATTTTTAAAAAAATTTTCTTTATTTTTTTATTTTTTTTTTATTTTTTATTACATTTTTTTCTCTTTTTTTAAGATTTTTTTTCATATTTCACTATGAACAAAGTAGTATAATGTTACCATAGTAACACTGTACTACTTTGGGGAAGTGATCAGTATTTTTATTTTTTTTTTTTACACAATTTGCTTATAGCAAAGAATTACTTTGCTATAAGCAAGCATTTACCTAAATGAAATCGATTCATTCAGGATTTTTTTTTTCTTAACTGTGATTTGGCCACAGCTAATCACATGACACAGCTGGGCTGTGATTGGCCCAGCTTGTGCATGTGACGTTATGACCATTTACAGCTAGACACACTAGTATACAATGGATGGCATGAAAGGAAGCCATCCATTGTATACAATTGTCATGTGACCAGCTGTGATTGGTCACAACAGGTCACATGGTACTGGCAACGGGGCAGGTACACAGATCTGTCATTGGCCGTGTCCGAGGTACACGGTCGGTGACAGATTGCGCTGCTGCGCAGCTCTGCGGACAGGCAAACTGCACATGTCTGAAAGGACGCCATATGGCGTCCACCCGGAGGGACGAGGTGTTTTGTCGGCCGACAGTCAGGCAGATGCTGGCATTTTTGATATTCTGTTTAATAAGATTTTATTTTATTTTATGTAATTAATCCACCTCTCTTTGTAACCTTAGGTGATAATAGTAACTTTTAGCTTTGCATGCATATGGTTCTTATTTATGGATGTTGTGTTAAGGACCTGCTGGCGGTAGCCTCTAGCGTTCCACAGACCGGAATTCCCCAAGGCACGGAATCGGAAAGTCCCGACCTGCCTGTTCACCAGGGCCCCTGATGGTGGGGATGGACTTGGAGCAGGCCGAAACCAGTCGCGACCCCTGGGTGCACCCAGCTGTGGTAGAAGCACTTGCCGGAGGTGTATAGCAGGTAAGAGTCTGATGTAAGGAGGTAGAAGGAGCAGAGTCGGGCAGGCCGGGTCGGTAGCAGTGGAGGCAGCGCGGTACAAAACAGTAGACAGAAGGATAAACTGGTCACAAGCCGGGTTCGGTAACAGGAGATCAAAACGTGCAGGATCAGACAGGAGAATGGTCCGGCAAGCCAGGGATCAGAGCAGGAGACAGTCAGCAAATCAAGGTCAGGCAGGGTCGGCAACAAAGCAATCTAATTCAGGAACACAGGATACAGATAAGACCATTCGGCAATTAGAACACAGACATGACCTTTTTAAATAGGGAGCCCTGCGCCCTGATTGGTGCTAGGCGCGCGCCTGCAATCGTGAGTGCGTATGTGCGAACGCCGCTGCCGTTGCGGGTGAACAGGTCCAATGCGCACATGCACAGACCCGTGCGCGATCGCGGAGAGAAACCGGGGTCCCTGACATGTTGCTTCTGAGGGATCCATTTATATTTTAATTGCCTATATTATTTGGGGTTCCCCTCTTAGGTCATTATACATTTATTTAATAAGATGTTAGTCTATGTAATTAATCCACCTCTCCTTGTATCCTTAGGGGACAATATAACTTTTAGATATCCTTGCATATGGTTCTAAGTTATGGAAATTGCTTTTAAAGGATCCATTTTATATTTAATGGCCTATATTCTTTGTTAGATCTAGGGAGGTTTGTATTGATTTATTTTCTTTATTTATTTAGTTTATTTATTTATTTAATATTTTCTATGATGCCCTCCATGTCTTTATAAATGTGTTATTTTGCCATATAGAATCTAATATGTATTTAATATTAATGTTCTGTAAGAATTTGTTATTGCTTAAGAAGATGTTTATATTCAGGGATCGCTCAGCATATAGGATTATTATGTTATTCTTTTCCCCCACAAGATGGTAGGAGGGAGTATGAAGGATGGGTATCCTGTTTAGTGGATTCGGTCATCGTAATGGGGGTCGAGGTGATGTATCCACATACGGAGAGGGAAGAAGGGCGTCCTTCCCTTCTCCAAGATGGTGATGACTACCCAGGATGGGAGGAGTTGAAGAGTATATATGACCGGCCGCAGTCTGATGGACGCATCCTTTGATAAAGTCGTGATGATGAAACGCGTCAGAGGTGACGTCAGACGTTACTGAAAGACATTTTGGATGAGGTCCAGACTGCCATAAGGAGATAGTGAGCTATTAAGCTGATTTTAAACCTGCATATACTCTGCATTGATGTAAGCGCTTTTAATAAAGTTTCACAATACTTTTAAGAAGGTTTTGCACAATGATATTGTACTTTCTTTCAGGGTATTCTCATCGCTGATTTGGAGTACTGGTTGCAAGAGCCTGCAGCTATTATTAAGTCTGAGTCAAGCTTGCATTACCTGTCTTCTGGTAAGGTATTTCGGTTGACAGGTCTGATTGAGTGACATTGAAAACAATGGGCTGCGACTCGTCATGCGACTTTATGTGTCCAAAGTCTCATGACAAGTTGCACAAGTGTGAACATAGAATGCATGAATGTAAAAAAAACCTTGAGACTTTAGAACCACTTTAAGGATAACACTGAAAATACTCAAGTCCTTTAAATAACATGCTTGGTGGATGCATGCAGTGTTACAGAACAGTACAATGCAGTCCTTTTGACATTACACATTTAAAAACAAATTGCAAAGAAAAGTTTATGGTTTCCCCTAAAACTCCAGACTGTCTTGTACTATTGTACACGCCTTACAACATTGGAAGGGTACCTTGCAAGGGAGGAGGCTGATTCAAATTCAGGAAGCTGCCTTTATAATAACATGCCATGTGGACACAATCAAGGGTGACATCAATGAGTCAATTTGGTGAATGATGCACCGGGGATGTCATTTGCTATTTTGCATGTGGTGTGTAAAGCTCATCAAGAGTTAGGTCGTCTTGACTGATGTGGATTTACATCGCGGTAAATGCAGTTGCCGGTTATCGGCTGCACTTTCATTGCACTGTGACAGCGTAAGGAAAGTACTGACAATAACCAGCAATTGTCAGAGGAGGGATTGGCACCGATCATCAAGGCACTGATCATCAGTACCCTGATGATCAGTGCCCATCAGTGCCACCCACCTGTGCCCAGCAGTGCCACCCACCAGTGCCCATCAGTGCTACCCATCAGTGCTGCCCAGCAGTGCCACCTATCAATGCCCAGCAGTGCCGCCAGTCACTGCCACCCATCAGTGCCGCCTATCAGTGCCCATCAGTGCCGCCTATCAGTGCCCATCAGTGCAGCCTATCAGTGTCCATCATTGTTGCCTATCAGTGCCAGCTCATCAGTGCCGCCTATCAGCTCCACCTATCAGTGTTGCCTATCAGTGCCCATCAGTGCCGCTTATCAGTGCCCATCATTGTTGCATATCCGTGGCAGCTCATCAGTGCTGCCTATCAGTGCCCATCAGTGCCGCCTATCAGTGCCCATCATTGTTGCATATCAGTGGCAGCTCATCAGTGCTGCCTATCAGTGCCCGTCAGTGCTGCCTATCATTGCAGCCTCATCAACGCACATCAGTGAAGGAGAAAAATTACCTGTTTGCAAAATTATATAATAGAAAGAAGTAAAAAAATTTTTTTTTCAAAATTTTTGTGTTTTTTTGTTTATAGCGCAAAAAATAAAACACCTAGCAGCATGTATATACCACCAAAAGAAAGCTCTATTTGTGTGAAAAAAATTATAAAAATTTCATATGGGTGCAGTGTTGCATGGCCGCGCAATTGTCATTCAAATTGCGACAGCGCTGAAAATTGGCCTGGGCAGGAAGGGGGTATAAGTGCCTGGTAGGCAAGTGGTTAAAGGACCTATGTATATTTTAATTGCTTTAATCTCTGTGATATTGGGATAACCTCACTTATATACAGTCATGGCCGAAATTGTTGGCACCCTTGATATTTCTCCAGGAAATCATGTATTTCTCACGAAACGTATTGCATTAAACACATGTTTTGCTATACACATGTTTATTCCCTTTGTGTGTATTGGGACAAAACAAAAAAAGGGAGGAAAGAAAGCAAATTCGACATAATGTCACACAAACCTCCAAAAATGGGCTGGACAAAAGTATTGGCACCCTCTCACAACTGCGGATAAATAAGAATGTTACAAGCATGTGATGCTCCTGTAAACTCACCTGGGGCAAGTAACAGGTGTGGGCAATATAGAAATCACACCTGAAAGCAGATAAAAAGGAGAGACGTTCACTTAAACCTTTGCATTGTGTGTCTGTCTGTGCCACACTAAGCATGGACAACAGAAAGAGGAGACGAGAACTGTCTGAGGACCTGAGAACCAAAATTGTGGCAAAATATCAACAATCTCAAGGTTACAAGTCCATCTCCAGAGAACTAGATTTGCCTTTGTCCACAGTGCGCAACATTATCAAGAAGTTTGCAACCCATGGCACTGTAGCTAATCTCCCTGGTCGTGGACGGATGAGGAAAATTGATGAAAGATTGCAACGCAGAATAGTCCGGGATGGTGGATAAGCAGCCCCAAACATGTTCCAAAGACATTCAAGCTGTCCCTGCAGGCTCAGGGAGCATCATGGTCAGCGCGAACTATCCGTCGACATTTAAATGAAATGAAACGCTATGGCAGGAGACCCAGGAGGACCCCACTGCTGACACAGAGACATAAAAAAAGCAAGACTACAGTTTGCCAAAATGTACTTGAAGTAAGCCAAAAGCCTTCTGGGAAAACGTCTTGTGGACAGATGAGACCAAGATAGAGCTTTTCGGTAAAGCACATCATTCTACTGTTTACCGAAAACGGAATGAGGCCTACAAAGAACAAAACACAGTACCAAAAGTTAAAATATGGTGGAGGTTCAATGATGTTTTGGGGTTGTTTTGCTGCCTCTGGCACTGGGTGCCTTGACTGTGTGCAAGGCATCATGAAATCTGAGGATTACCAAAGGATTTTGGGTCGCACTGTAGGGCCCAGTGTCAGAAAGCTGGGTTTGCGTCCAAGATCCTGGGTCTTCCAGCAGGACAATGACCCCAAACATACGTCAAAAAAAAGCACTCAGAAATGGATGGCAAAGAAGCGCTGGAGAGTTCTGAAGTGGCCAGCAATGAGCCCAGATCTAAATCCCATTGAACACCTGTGGAGAGATCTTAAAATTGCTGTTGGGAAAAGGTGGTCCTTCCAATAAGAGAGACCTGGAGCTGTTTGCAAAGGAAGAGTGGTCCAAAATTCCGGTGAGAGGTGTCAGAAGCTTATTGATGGTTATAGGAAGCGACTGATTTCAGTTATGTTTTCCAAAGGGTGTGCAACCAAATATTAAGTTAAGGGTGCCAATACTTTTGTCCAGCCCATTTTTGGGGTTTTGTGTGACATTATGTCATATTTGCTTTTCTGCCTCTGTTTTATATTTGTTCCAATACATACAAAGGGAATAAACATGTGTATAGCAAAACATGTGTTAATGCAATACCTTTTTTGTGTGAAATACTTGATTTTCAGGAAAAATATCAAGGGTGCCAACAATTTCGGCCATGACTGTATATATGTAGTGCCTTCCTAGTCAGCTAGGGGAGCTAGATCCTAATGGTTAGACAGGGGCTGAATAGCAGCCCAGCTTTGACAGTCAGACGGGTCAAATTTCCATCAGGAGCTGGAAGGCTCTGCAGACTCAGTCCTCTGCGACTTCTCCCTGCCTAGAACTTTGGAGAAAGTTCTAGAAGCAGTAGGTGGATGTAAGGAGTGGCTGATCTTCATATTCAAGGGACTCTGACCAATCTCCAACAGGGTCAGAATAGCCCTTAAATAAGAAGAGCCTGTTGAGTGTGAGGAGAGTCGGGTGGAAAAAGGAGAGGAAGATGTGAAGCTGTGAGGAAGAAGGCTGCAAGGAGGCCCAGTGCGATGGGGCCTACCTGCAGGCCTGGAGCTGGATGAGAGGAACGCTCAGAACTCACAGGCCACTTGAGAGAGGACCACCTGTATGACGAGAAAGGAGGAGCCCAGCTGATAGGTCTGGTAGCAGCAGAGTGAATACGCCTACACCCTCTGATAGGGGAAGGAGTCTCTGGTGGGAAACCAGATTACCCCCTACTAGTGACTGTTCACCCCATTTAAAAGGGACAGGAACCAGATCCCCTGCTCAGGAAAATCTCCAGATTGCTGGGTGAAAAGGAGAATTTCATCTAGGGTCTGGGGTGGTACATTGAGGAGACACTGGCTAGCTCTCCAACAGAGACTGTGCTGCAAAGGAGAAGCTTGTATATAGTTCCAGGAAGTTTGTCCTCAGTTATCAGTTCCCTTGGGCATCCTATACACCCTGAACTATTCTAGTTCAAATCCCCTCAATAAATAAGAAAATTAAAGCTCAAGGACTGATTTTCTGACTCTGGATGCAAACCTTTGTGAAGCTGTGTGATGCCTGGCTGTGCAAGATTATAGGGGGACCCAATTAATCAACAACTCCTAAGGGGGTAGTGCTACATATATAAAGTGGCTTCAGGAATCTGCAGTAAGTTCCCCTGTATTACTCCCAGCTTCTTTCTGGGGCATCAGATGTTTGGAAGGGACCATTGTCCCACAACAATTAAACAAGGTGCCTTTCCATTTTCCCATCCTTGCAAGATACCACTCTAATCTTAAAGCCACGTGGCATGATCTAGTAAAGAAAAAAATGGGTTTGTTTCTTGACCACTCAGGCTGCATGCCTAGATAAGGGTCTGGTGCAATTTAAAAGAGAGTACACATTCATTAAAAATAGTGTTCACATTAAAATTCCACCCAGGCTTATCCAGATATGCAGCTTTGGTAGCCTGAAAAGTGAGGGCAGCTAGCATTCACCCTTCCTCCCCCTTTCCTGTACCAGACCACATGCATTTTAACATACTGGGGTACTTTGCAGAGGTGGGGGTGGTGGCAAAGTCCTCTTCCTTTGCAAGGCGTTTTGTCTCATGTTAAGATACAAGAGTCTCTTTCTTGCCTCCAATGCACCAAGAAGGAGTTTGGGGTAAAAAGTGGTGACTAAAACTGAAACTGGAAGCCCACGTAATAGTAAATTGACACCTAGATATCTATCCCTCCCAAGAGAGTGAGTACAGGGCTTCCCCTTTCCCATTTACTCAGAGAGTTAAAATTAAACATACAGTATTAAAAATTTCTTAAATTGAAAAAAAAAAAAAGTAATTTTCCCCAATGTATATACAGTGTATATACAGTGTCAATCACGTTGTCCAGCGATGCAATCTATATCATGCACAGCATCCAGCAATGTAAATCCATGTTGGTCATGATGACCTGTCGCCTTTACATGCCGCATTGCTTTTAATAAATGACAGATCCCAGGCGCTGGGGGTAATGTAAACACACCACCGGGATCCTTGGTGACATCATTGACTAAATATGGTCAATTATTATATTTGGTCAAAGACATCACCCAGGATCCCAAGCTGTTTACATTTACGCAGATGAGGATTTGTCATTTAGTAGAAGTGAGGGTAAACATTGACGAGAGTTGGTTTGTCGTAATTGATGATGAATTACTGTACATCCCTGGACGCTAATTGACATTTAAGGAGTTTTTTTCAAAATGTGTGTTTGTTAACTCACTGGGAGTTGGAGGGAGGTATGGCCTTGCCGGACACCCACCTTTACCACATGGTGTCTCACTTAACAAGAGCATTGGACTGGTGTCGAAACTCTCAAGCAAAACAATGGGTTGCTATGGAAGAAACAATTTCCCCTATATCTCTAGCCATGCTTCCATGGAGCCCTGCTGTTCCTTCCCCTGGTATGTCTCAACATCTGACCATTACAACCCTTTGGTGTATCTGTTGTATAGCACATATGGTATCTCCCCAACCCCATCCCCGCACTATCCTATTGTGCTATACATTATATTAGAGACTCTAAATGGCTCACCTTTGCTCAGATGTGTCAAGATCAAATGTTCTCTGATCTGGGTCACTTTCAACTGCTCCAACTTTCTCATTTCCTAGGATCGCTACCCAACGCCTCCTCATTTATGCGACCATTGACTACATATGAACAGGAGTGTCAGGTTGAGAAGCCCTCTAGACTTGCCCTTTCCCTCCCCCATAAATAGCTGCTTTCACAGACTTCACAGTCATCACTTAAAAAATTGGAGAGGGAACGGCAATAGTGCTGGACACCCACAGACCATAAAAAGATATTGACTGTTTCTTTTAAGTCATCCAGTAAATGCCAGGACCTTGTCTATGAAATCTTTACCTGATGGTACCGCACCCCTTCTCGACTACACCATATATACCCTTCC